GGTTCGTTTTATATTTTGAGTTGGATTTCTGGATTTCTGCTTCTGCTGCTTTTTGGTCTACAATTAAACCTTTCAGAACACATCCCTGCTTCACTTGTCTCTGCATCTGGGTCCTCAAAGCAACCTCACCACCCATTGTTGACAGATACAGGAAATGCTGATTGGAGATGTTCCATCTTACCTTCTGTAGAGCTGCTCTGGTTGGCTGTCAGTCGTCCAGCTTTGGTTCTGGATCTTTTTTCAGACAGAAAAAAAACCAATTTGCTCCTCTTTCTCTGTCTGTGGAGACAATTATTCATAACTGAAATAATCTACGGTGGCCCAGAGGTGTTAAGTCAAAAAAAGCCTCAACGGAAATAAAAAAAGGGTCAGAAGTCAAAAAACCTTTAGCAGAAGTAACAGTGCCTGATGAATGAAACAATGGAAAGATAAGTTTTGTTTGCTGAGAGAAGCAGTATGGGTTTTAGGAGAAATGGTGGTCTAGCTCCATTTAAGTTCATTCACTGTGATTTTATTAGATTACTTATTGTTATTTCAATTAATGAATAAATTGATAGTAACTAATGAGAGGTAAGGATGACTGCACTGACCATTGAGTAAGATTCCATAAGCCCCTAGCTGGAAGGAGGATGCAACACTGAAATAAATTTGGAGTATCATTTACTTAGAAAAAGCAAGGTAACTTTTTCAACATAGAAATTGTTTCTAATTTTTTCCCAATAAAATCTAAGTTAATTTTACTTACTAACAGAATTTGACTTACCAAACATATTTTACTACTAAATTTAACTTATGAGCAAAATATGTACTTTGATTTGCTAATAAAATTTACAGAGAGAGGCACTGAGACATATAGCTATGCATCTAGAGAAGCAAGTCAAACTAACAGTACCTAAAGAGAACCCACATATGCGTGAGGAGAACATGTTAACTTCATGCAGGAATACTCTGTGCAGCCAACAAATAAACAATATTTTCAATTTCTGAGCTAAACATGGTCAGGAAATAAAAAAAGCACCAAGTTTACTCCTAATATCCAAGTACATCTTACATCTGTTCAATGGAATTGGTTAAATTATTTAAATTGTTTTTCTAATGTTATTTGGTGAATCACATCAACCACATTGGGCTGTTTTGATGGAAATAGATTTAAAAATGTACCAACACATTGAATAAAAGGTTTTATTTTGAAGAGAAGGCCCTTATTTTAATTAAAATGGAAGAAGGACCACAAAGCGTCCTTTTTCAGTGAAGGACGATCGCTGCTTATAGTCATTCGGGAATTCAACTATAAGATGAGCAAAAGTAAGATCACTACCAGCAGTGGTTAATGTTGTAGAGTATTGAGATCAGCCTTAAGGCCTAGTATTACATTAAACTTAAATGTTATTAAATATAATAGGATAAATAAATAAGATAGATAAATAATATATTAACACATGGGCTTCTTTGGCCTATTTGTGAGATAAAATATTTAGAGTGTACCTTAATGTTTTCTGTAAAGGAGTGATTGTTTATGCTGATTAAGATTCCCTGTCATCCAGGTCATAGTCATTCTGTAAAAGTTAAAAAAAAATCCACTGGACTTTCCGAGATTTGAAGACGTTTCTCCACCTCTCCAGGAAGCTTTCTCAATTCAAATGTCTGGATCGGCAGTGAGTTTGAGTCTTTATATAGACAAAGCCTTGTATTGCTTGGAAACATGCAAACGGTAACCATGAATGGGTCGTTTGGTTTCATTGTTAGCCTGTAATATCTGAAACCTGTCTATGATTGTTAAGGGTCGGTCGTTAAAGGGGGGGATTGTCTCAGTTAATGTCTGAACGACTAAACCTACTTTCCGCTGCGTTAACACTAGAACTCCCACGGCCGTCATTTTGACGGTTCTGAGATTTTAAAGGGAAATAACTTTATGTACATTAATCATATGTTGTTCATGTAAACTGATTTTTTCTGCTCCTATATTTCCTTCATTTTCACAGCGTTTTTTAAATAAAAATGTAAAAAATAAATATGGTTAATTCTACCTTGATCTCCCACAGCCATCATTTTGATGGCTCTATTAGTTGCATAGTAAATTCTTCCCAAGGCTGATTGAAGTTTGGTACCGTTGCCTGGCAACTGACATTCTACCTGGAACTCTTAAGCTAATACGGAAAACTGGCTTTCAGAAGAAATCTAACTGCAAAACAGGCCTTAGAAATGCTTCAAAATATTGATGATAGTTATTCAGGTGGAGAGGGAGAGACCGATGAGGAGGACTGGGTAGGAAGCGGCTCAGATTGTGACAGAGAGTCTGAGGATGATCCTCTATCCCCGGGAAAACACAGACGTATCAGTGACCCATCAGACAATAGTGAAACTCTTTTTCAAGTTTTGGATAGAACTGCCCGCACGTCAGCCGGTACACTCAGCGGCCCAAAAGCCAAACCAGAGCCCATGATCTACTATAATCACAGGTTGGCGTGCCGACCATATGCTCTCCGCAGGTTTACAGCCCCTCTGCCGCTGAAGAGCAGCTTTGGCGAGGCAAAGAAAACAGCGCAAACTTCTATAGGAGGTTTATTCAGGCCAAAATTACGTTTCCTTACTTCACCTAAGATTTGTTTTGTTTAGAGTCCAGATGCTGAGGCCTCCTTTAGAGAACTAAAGCCCAGGTTTTCTCAGGCCCCCTTCTAGTTCATCCTGATCCTAGTAAACAGTTTATCTTAGAGATTGATGCCTCAGACACGGGCGTCAGAGCTGTCTTATCTAAGCAGTCTGCAGTCTGCTTGAGTCTGAACCCTCGACAGGCCCGCTGGTCCCTCTTTTTCTCTTGCTTCAATCTGTCCATTACCTTCCGTCCTGGTTCCCGAAATGTCAATCCTGATGCTCTGTCCAGACTATATGCCTCCCGAGAACAAGAGGATGAATCTGCGACTATTCTGCCCCCATCTTGCATCTTAGGAGCCCTTCGTTGGGATTTGGAGGACCGAATCAACCAGGCCTCGTTGCTTGATCCAGATCCTGGTACTGGGCCGGCTGTACTGACCTACATCCCCCAAATCTGTCCGTCCTGACGTTCTGTGCTGGGGCCACAGTTCCAAGCTCTCAGCACACCCTGGAATTTATAGAACCCAGTCCCAAGTTTCTCGTCGGTTTTGGTGGCTGTCCTGGTCCAGAGACGTCAGTGAATATGTCAGTTCCTGTCCCTTCTGTGCTAGAAACAAGCCTTCAAATAAAGCACATGCTGGATTATTAGAACCAATACCCATTCCCAAACACCCATGGTCACACATAGCTCTTGACTTTGTCACTGGACTCCCATCATCTCAGGGAATGACTACAATCCTCACCATCGTCGACCAGTTTTCCAAGTCCTGCCAACTGAACTCCATCCATAAGCTGCCCAACGCCCTACAAACAGCCCAAAGGCTTATCAAACATGTCTTCAAGCTCGATGGAAACCCATCCCCAGTTCATCTGTCAAGTTTGGAAACACTTCTGTTCTGCTCTTGGTGCCCGTTACACCTTCACCTCTAGTTATCATCCACAGACCAACAGCCAGACAGAAAGAATGAATCAACAACTGGAAACTGCCCTCCGTTGCCTCACCTCTTCATCCCCCACCGTTTGGAACAAGTACCTACCCTGGGTTGAGTATGCACTTAACTCCCACGTCAGCAACCGGTCACTCTCCTTTTGAAATAGCTCTGGGTTATCAACCACAACTTCTCCCTTCTGATGAAATTTGTATCCTAGTCACCTCCGTTTAACAATATATCACCCGCTGCCAACAAACCTGGAGATCAACCGTCACAGCTCTTCACCACACCGCTGAGAAGAACAAGAAGTTCACCGACCGTTGTTGAGTTCCTGCCCCTAAGTATCAACTCGGTCAGAAGGTTTGGTTATCTCCAACCCCTCTGCCAAGAAGCTATCCCCCCAATTCACTGGTCAATATGAAATCGAAGAAGTCATCAGCCCGATCTCAGTCCATCTCCGTTTGCCACCTCATTCCCATGTCCTTCCCCATGGGCCGCCAGGTGGTGACTGTTGAGGGGGGTGGTGTCAGGGTTGGGTTTTCTGTGCTCTGCTTACAGGTTGTTTTTGCTAGCAGGTGAGCATGGCACTGCACCTGCGGCTTGTTGAGACTATTCGGCTGAACTTAACAAGAGCGTTCAGTCAGCTGGCTAACTCCAAACACTGACATTCCGAACCTCGTCTGTGGCTCCTGTTCTGAACTGACCTTATTTCTGTGTAGTCAAATAAACATCATAAACTGCTCCTGTTTTCCCCTGTCTGTGTCTGCATGTGGGCCAAACACCTTAAAACTATGACAATAAGTAGGTGTTTACTTAAGTCTTTATCATAGTTTTTGTACAGGCAGGTTTAGTAGGTTCAAACCCTGAAATTATGCCTTTTAGTATAAATATGGCACCCCAAGAATTTTTTTTGTCCCATCTGGCCCCCCCAATGAAACATTTCTGGAGGCGCCACTGCCTGCTGGACGGAGCCAGAATCATTCTGCTGATTTGTGATACACTTAGTCTCTATCTCTGCTCATTTAGTTTCAGATCTAAACAACTTCTGGGATTCATCAGGTTTGAAGGATAGAAAATGTCTTTGGACCTGATGGGAAACCAGCAGAAAAAAGTCCAAACCAGTGAGATGCTGACCGTCCAGTAGTTCAGGTTCAAGAGTATATATTTGTGCAGAGTAACCTGGTTCCTTACTTTGGTTCTGAGGGTCCTGGTTCTTCTCTGAAATCTGGTTTCCGTCTTTTGGACCGGTGACTCCTCATAGAAGGACAGCTGGATCCTGGAGGTTCTGTTCTCTGTCTTTGGATCGGACCTCTGAAACACAAATATTTTGTTATTCAGATCACATCAATCAGTAAGAAAGTCTGAGATCACATGGAGCCAATGAGATCAGATTTCTAGGAATGATTGTACTAAGTACTACTATTATACCCAGTACTGGTACTAAAAAGTCCAGTAAGTTCTGGACACTGACCTATTGATCACATCTCGTCTGAGAAGGTGGAGAGCAGAGGTTCTGGTCCCTGGTATCAGAACCAAATCTGTTGGTCTTGTCTGAGGAGCTGATGTGGCCGTCATTAAAGAACAGAACACAGGACCAGACTCTGAACCAGAACTTTGGAATTAGAGGGACGACCCAAGTCTTGCATTGACCTGTTAACCTTTGGCCGGGTCATTAGTCCATTGGATCATCAGGACCCAATATATACGCTGGGACCAGTGTTCCCAGTCCAGAACCTCATGTAGTCCAGAACCTTCAGAGACCGTCTCTGAACCTGGTTGCTCCTCCTTAATGTTTATTTAGCTTCTAGCTGAAAGAAGACCTAAATGACTTTTTATTTGGAAGCTGAAGATCAACCAGTTTAGATTCTATAGATTCTATCTCTATGGATTCACATTGTTCAGTTAGAAAGGGATTCCTTACTTTATGTCTGAGGGTCCCGGTTCTGCACTGAAATCTGGATCGATTCCTTTGGAGTGGTCACTCCTCATAGAAGGACAGCTGGATCCTGGAGGTTCTGCTCTCTGTCTGTGGTTCAGACCTCTGAAACGCAAACCTATTTATTCAGATCACATCAATCAGTGAGAAACTCTGAGATAAAAACCAGAGAAGAAGAAACTCTGAACAGAAACTTCTGCAGAGAAGCAGAAGGTCTAAAGTTCCAAAGTGAAACATTCAGACGGTTCTGTTGGATCCAACTAAACATTATCTGAAGAACTGGGTTCTATGGTCTGGATCCCATGGGTCAGACCAACACCTGCAGGATATCAGGCTAATGCCAGAATT